TCCATGCGCCAGCCACACCTGCCTCCCGTTTCCTCCAACGCACTGGCCCTTTGCACATGCTGTTCCCACTGCCTGGAATCCACTCCTCTGATCTTTCCACGGCTGATCCTTGTCATCATTTAGGTCTCCTCGCAGATACCCCCTCCTCTGGAAGAAATTCCGTAACTTCCTTGGTTAAAGTAACACTCCCTCACCCCCACCCCTACCCCCAAATGCTCCTTACCCTCTACCCTGTTGCTGGTTTCATTTTTCTCAGGACACTGCAGTTATCTCATGTATTTGTTCACAGTTTTATTGTTTGTCTCTGCCCTCCACGTGAAGGCTCCGTGGGGTCAGGAAGATCCCTGTATTTCTAGTACCTAGAACAACTTATTTTTTAAAAAATTTTATTGTGGTCATAATAGTTTATAACATTGTGAAATTTCACTTGTACATTATTATTTGTCAGTCACCATACATATGTGCCCCTTTACCCCTTATGCCCATCCCCAACCTCATTCTCCTCTGGTAACCACTAATCTGTTCTCTTTGTCTATGTGTTTGTTTATCTTCCACATGTGAGTGAAATCATAGAGTGTTTGTCTTTCCCTGTCTGGCTTATTTCACTTAACGTAATACCATCAAGGTCCATCCATGTTGTTATGAATGGGATGATTTTGTCTTTTTTGTGGCTGAGTAGTATTCCATTGTGTATATATACACACCACATCTTCTCTGTCCATTCATCAGTTGTGGAGCACTTGGGTTACTTCCACATCTTGGCTATTGTGAATAACACTGCAATGAGCATAAGGGTACATGAGTCTCTTTGAATTGTTGATTTCAAGTTCTTTGGATAAATACCCAGTAGTGGGATGGCTGGGTCATATGGTATTTCTATTTTTAATTTTTTGAGAAATCTCCATGCTGTTTCCCATACGTGGCTGCACCAGTTTGCATTCCCACCAGCAGTGTATGAGGGTTCTCTTTTCTCCACATCCTCTCCAACATTTATTTTTTTGCCTTGGTGGTTATAGCCATTCTAACAAGGGTGAGGTGATATCCCAATGTAGTTTGGATTTGATAGAACAGATTATGTTTATTGAACAAACACACACCCTGCCCTGTGTTTACTGTATGCCAGGCACTCTGCCAAACGCTTTCCAAATATTACCTCATTTAATCTTTACGAATAAGATATTTTACAGAGGAGGAAATTGAGGCACAGAGAGTTTAAGTAACTTGCCCAAAGTCACACAGCTTGTAAGTGGTGGAGGCAAGATTCGAACCCAGACAGTGTGCCCCCGAGTCAGTGGGCTTAAACACTCTGCTGGACACACAGAAGTCTTAAATATAAATGTCTACGGGATGAATGCATTTACCTTGAAGAGTGAGTACCAGCCCCTCATAGGTAACCTATTAGGTGGGAGGGAAAAGGACAGGAAGTTTCTCTCACGTCCATGCCCCACCCACTGGGCCACCCCATGGCTCCCATCAAGGCTCAGAGGACCAGTGAGGGAGAAGAGAGCAGCACTGCAGAAGGTTCTAGAACAGCTCCCAGCCCCCAGGTATGGGCTGCCTCCCAGGGTGTGGGGCTCCCCTCTCTCACCCACATGCCCACCTCTCTCCCCATCTTGGCCCTGAGCTCTTAAGGGAGGGGAACTGGTGTCACCCAGCGGTTCCCTGCACTGGGTCCCTCGGTGCTCCCTGGACCCCTGCTCAGTGCATTCTGCCTGCAGGTGAGCAAGCCCACCACGTCCTGAGCTGCCCCTGGCACCCAGGCACCCACGGGACCTTCCTGGGCTGGGCCCTGGGCCATAGCCCACCTTCCCCACAGCTCTGGGGCTCCAGGGGATGGGGGTGGGGAGTCTTTTTCTCTGTGTACTGACGCTCTCTGGCATGTTTTATATAATATTAGCATTTCGTGGCATTGGTAAACAATCCCAGGAAGCAGAAATGAAGTGGGTGGATCGATAAATAAATTTTTTAACAGGGAAAGGGAGCGGTAAGAATGAAGCATAATCAGAAAGGAGAATGTGAGCCACGCCGGGGAAGAAATTTGAGGTGGACAAGGTTGAAAATGAGTGAGAAAGGAAACCTGAGAGAAGAAAATAAAGCTTTCACACCAAGGAAGCCGGAATCCTGGCCAGGAAGAGAGACTGCTCCCCGGGGCCGGGCCGGCGCCTCCGTGGTCCTCAGCCATCCTTCGGGCTGAGGGCCTCGTGGTCAGCGCTGGTGCATGATTCATCCATCTGAGCTTCCCTGAGGCCCCGGAATGCTGTAAACAGAGTTTATGGCTGCACTTGCGTTTCTTTGAAAGTCTTAGGAGCTTTTTCTTTCCTTGGTTGCGAGCTAGAATTGAAGATGAACTCTTGGACCACGAACTCTTGATGTCTCCAAGGCATCAGTGGTAGCCAATGTGATGCTAACGGGAGGCAGTTTTAGATAAATTATTCCATCCACCTGTCCATAGAGAAACTGCCTAGGAAAATGTCTCCCAGCCTGTTCTCGATATGAAAGAAGATATTTCCCACCTCTCATAATTAGCACCCTCCACAAGCCCTCAGCCTCCAGGAAAGAGGTTCGATTCGAGACACTCCCGTAGAGTTATAATTAGAGCTCTCTTCCAGCTCTTTTAAAATTGTATCTGGATATACATTACACTTTATTATTTGTAAAGCAGTTTTGCAAACATGATTTCACCTGGCCTTCACTTCAATCTTCTGGGGTGAAAACACGATCTTTCCTCCCGTGACGCCAGCCCCGCTCTGGGAACGAGGGAGGAGGTGTGGCTGTGGTGGGTGGGTCAGATTCTGGGGTCTGTTGGGAGCCCTTTTGCTGGTAGGAAGGTCGCTGTCGTCGAAGTGTTCATGCAGTTCTAGTACTCACCTCTCTCCTTTGACCTGAGTTCCTGGCGAATCTAGGGAGTGAGGACGGAGGCCTGGCCAGTCCTCCTCCTGGGCCCCCTCCGCCTCCTCCCACCCTGACATAACAGGGAGAGACCTGGGCCAGCCACCTCCTCTCCCAGGCCAGCTGGGTCTTAGGCACTGGGGGCCGATATGCTCTGTTTCGCTCTCTGCCTCTTTCTGATCGCATCCTCTGGTGCTGGGAGAAATGAGCAGTTGGCCTTTTGTCACAAATCCCTGGACCTTAGGAAAGAGGAGGCTCCATGGAGTCCAGCCTAGATCAGAAAATTTCGACACTGGGATTTGGGACCCAAGTCAAGGGACACTTTCTTACTGAGGGGCCACATCGGGGGTAGGGGGGAGATTGCCAATGCCAGATGAGGGCATTGCTAGACTTCCAGGTACATCAGTCAGGAAAGGTTAGGTTACGCTGCAGTAACAAACAACCCCAAAATCTCAGTGGCAAAGAAAAAGAGAGAGAAAAGGAAGGAGGGAAGGAGGAGAGAGGTTGGTTTCTTATTTCCTTTGCTGTTGGTGGCAGGTCAGCTGTGGTTTTTCTCCCCGTCCTTTTCATTTTAGGGCCAAGACTAAAGAAGCTTCACCTATCCAGAACATTCTGGGTTCACAGCAGAGGGAAAAGGCAAAGGCAGGACAAGAAAATGGTTCTTAAAATTTCTTCTCCAATGCAGCATGTGTCACCTCCATTCACATATCCAGATATCACATATCTTGAGGCCAAGCCTGATGTCAGTGGGTGGGGAAGCATAACCCTCCCTCGGGGGGGCCCCGAGGGAGGAGCAGCTGATAGTGTGACAATCAAACAGCCTGCCACACCCAGCCACAATACAAACCAGCACCAATGGCTCACCCATCACTGCTGTGTGCCACCAGATTTTCATGAAGCAGCTCCCCTAACTCAGAGCTGGGACTCAGTAATCCAAGTCCCATGCAAATCCCATTTTACAGACAAGGAAACTGTGGTTTTCAGAGGGCGAGTGTGGCAGAATCAGACCACATGCCCCCTCATCCCATCTTCTCCTCCTGGGCACATGGGAAGATGACATTTCCCTGGCTCTCTGGCCATGAATTGGGACCACAGGACTGGTTCTGGACCATGGGATATGCACAGGAGTCATGCCTGCCCCCCCACGCCTGAGCACAAGCCCCCATTCAACCTTCCACCCTCTCTCTTTCCCTTCCATGTTCACTGTGAAGGCCCTGTTTCAAGATGGCAGCATCTAGAAATGGAAGGAGCCAGCGCTTGACTTGCTGCCCGGGAGAGGCCCCATAGACAGAGACATAGTCATGTCTCATAGACATGAGACAAACCTCAGTGATGTCAGGGCACTGAGCACCTAATGTCACTGCACAAAGGGCACAATCTGCTCGCTGTGAGACAAAAGCCAAAGGTCAAGAGGCAAGCTGGTGGCAGAGAAAGAGTATTTTATTACAGTTTGCTAGCAAGAGGGAAGATGGCTGACTAATGTCCAAAAAAACCATCTTAAGCAGGGCACAGAATCCTGAAGCAGTTATATGGGCCAATGGGTTATAGGGTAGGGGCTTAGGAATGTTGACCCTCTGGTGTTACAGACTGGGAGTGGCCACACCAGGTCTTTCAGTTTTCATTGATGATGGCTATCAGCAGAAACTCTCTCTTTGGGGATCATCACATTCCTAAGGAACTCAAAAGAATGAAGTTATTGTCTTATCACAGCTGGAAGGTATATGCACAGGCAGCGGTCACAAAATCTACAGAACAGGCACTGGCCCCATGGCCAAGTGGTTGGGTTTGTGCACTCTGCTTTGGCAGCCCAGGGTTTTGCCAGTTCAGGTCCTGGGTGCAGGCATGGCACTGTTCATTGGGCCATGCTGAGGTGGCATCCCACATGCCACAACTGGAAGGATCCACAACTATGTACCAGGGAGCTTTGGGGAGAAAAAGGAAAAATAAAATCTTTAAAAAAATATACAGAACAGGTGGATCTCCTGGAGGGTGCAAATCCAGCTGGGTTAGTTAGTCAGAGGTCATTCAAAGTTACAACATGGTTTCTTTTCTACAATATGGCTTCCCTTATGTCAACCTTGTGTTGAGCTGGTTTCAATTCCTCCTTTTTGTTTTTCATCCCTCAATCTTGAGGGACACCCTGTTGATGAGGGTCATAGGTTGTTCCATCTCATGGAACCAGTCTCTTAGTAAGACGGTGATGCAGGTGGGCTCCCATAGTTAGGCCTATATTGGGTAAGCAGGTAACCAGATATTTAATAAGAAGCATTTCTACAGAGACAAAAAGAAAAACAAGGTTAATGGTGGGAGCAAATTATAAACCAGTTTCTGAGCCCAGGGTCAGCCAGTCAAGAAAACTTCTAGATGTCAGGGTCAAAGCATCTTTTGCAGTTTGAAATATCCCTGATGATGCCATCAGGTGTTCAGGTATCTTTCTGAGGAGCTTACATAGCAACAGCTATGAATATCTCTGAAGTTTATATCAAGTCCTCGAGTTTCAGCTTGCAAGGCTTCAGGAAAAAGGGCAGCTTCAGTTGTCAATGATTCCAAGTGAAAATGATGGGAAAAAATTAAAATCATTAGTTCAGAGATTTGTAGCCAGATATTTCAAGAGACTAGAAGAATTTAGGACCCAGTCCAGTAAACAGATACAAACAAAAGCTTCAAAGGCAAATAACAGAACTAGAATCTAATATCCATGAATGCCTACCATAGTTTCTACTGAAACATAACTTTTTTCTCTAAAATCACCCTCATTTTTACCAAAGATAGCCAACTAAGACTCATTGGTTTGCAAAACAAGGCTAGCATTAATAAAATTTAATTAAATTATTTACATAAGTACAGCAAGAATAACCATTGATCATATAGGCTCTTTAAAATCTGCTTTGCTGCAACTTTTTACAAGAAATCTCAGGTTGTATTTTAAAGGCCTCTCAAGGCCAGCAAAGCTAAGCCAAGGATTTGTCATCAGGCTTCACCTGCAATACTTTAGATTTGGGTGAATTCATCTCATCTCATGAAGTTCCCCAAAAGTATTTCAAGGTCCAAGCACCTGCCGGATAAGTGACCTTCCTTACTTACCCGGGCTGCTGGAATCCTTGTAAACAAGGTACCAGGCCAATATTTCCAAGTGGCTTTATTTCAGGAAGTTAACCTTTATTCCTCAAAAACTGTCTTGTCATATCTGAGTCTGTATATTTCTCTCAAATATGACATTCCAGTCAAAGACTTGGTTAAATGACAGATGTTTCCAAATGTGTCCAGTTATAGGGAGAGAAGATTCTTATTGAACTTATACAAATAGCTATGCTGCCGTGAAAATAACCATACTCTCTCACTCACTAAGAGTTTCCAAATTCTGGAGGGATCAGGTAGGGAGAAAAAGATAAATGTTTCAATTCTGCTCATAAAGGTATAATTTCACCAAGTTGCTATAAGTCATAGTTAGCATAAGAGAAAACAGAAAAAGATTTCCTTAAATCTGAGAAGACAAAAGAAAACATTTAAAAAATCAACATTTCAAACAAAAATCATAAAAATTATAATCATCTTCATAGGTTCCACAGTCCTGTGTAATCGATTCTTGACCTTAATCTTCTGTCAGCAGTTTCATGAAGTCATCAGTTTCTCTATTAGAGTTCTGTAATTTCTTACCCACTTCAGTTTTACAATCTGAAAGTTTGTCGGAAACCTGTATTCTAGAGTGTCAAAGTCCTTTCCATGAATTTCTCTGAAGATGAAACATATTTTGCAAAAGCATCAGAATAAAATAATAACTGCCTATAAGCAACAAGATCCCAAAATGGCAACTGATAAAGAAATGTGGTTAATTTTGTGACATACAATACTTTAAAATAACAACCAGAATTATGGCTGACAACCAGGACTGATCAGAATTTTAGGAATGTTATGTAATTTTTAAAACATTTATATCAATAACAATTACTCATATAATACCACCCTAGAAAGTTTATCATCACTTATTTAACAATGCTTCCCATGTAATTGAACATACCAAATAAGCCTAATTACCTTAGTGTCTTCCTCCTTATAGGAAGAGAGAGCAAATCTCTTTGAGAAGTCTCAGGGGCCCTCTGAAAATCCTCAGAGAAATTCTCTTCCTTCTTCCAGGCCAAAAGAAAGCCTTTATTCAGGATTTAAATATTTTGGCTGGAGGGAACTTGTCAAAAATATCAAAAGGTTTTAAAACACTTGGTCAAATAGGAAACAACGCTCGCTCTATTCAATCAAAGTGACAACAGAAACAGTCAAGGGCAAACAGTTAAAACAGTCAAAAATCTTAATAGAGAGACCTCAGTCTTTCTGAACATAGGAAACCATTTTAACAAAACAGATTTTCTGTCTTTTACATAGACTTCTTCAAAGAAAAACCTTTTATAAATTCTTTATCAAGAGCAGACCAAAAGTTCAAGAAAATTATCCTTTTGAGAGAGAAAAACAAATTTTAATTTTGCACCAACTCATATTTTTTTTACATGAAAATTCATTTACTTAATTGGATTTACTTTAATCTTAGCCAACTTGACCAGCATAAAAGTTCTTTCAGAATTTCTCTTTCACAAACCTTCTATAACTTTCTTTTTACATTCAGAATTTGTCCCATGCTTTCTTTCTTCCCTTCTAGTACTTGACAACAAATTTATCTTTCTTAACCCAACAAACAAAAATACTCCCAATCTTTATACCTTCTTTACTGAAAACATACATTTTACTTCCCTTAGATATAAAGATGTTTGCCTTATTAATTTCTAGTAGCTTTAATTACATATATTAATTAGAATTTTTAACCCTTACAGACCCTAGTAAAAACTAAAAGCTAAGCAATTATGAACTGTCTTTTACATTAGCATTCTGTGGCCTGGCAAATTTATAAATACTTTTTATAACTTCTAGAAACATGCTACTTGATGGTACAATCTTAATAAAACACAAGACCTGTTTACTAATAGACCCAAACATCTTTTAGTTTTTTTGTAGGAAGAAACCAAAAGTAAATAAACACAGACATGTCTAATGATAATGTTTCAGTATTTTATCTTATTTGAAAAATGACCCAGATATTCAGTGAATTTTTTATCTTTCAATTTTACCTAGCGACACTTCGAAGTTTCAGGTTACCAGAAAGATTTTGGAAGTTATTTTAAAATATGCATGTCATAAGCTATAATAATTGCTAAAAGTTTATCTACAAACTCTTATCTTGCTTTTATCTAGACCATTTGTTTGTAACAATCGTATTTAGATTACTCACAAAAACTTCATACGACACTAAAGCACTTAGCCATCATCTTGTTGTTTTAAGTGCATGCATTAAAAAGTTTCCCCCAAAACTTTTACCCTTTTTACATTTATTCAGCTTGCTTGCTTCTAATAATTACTTAGATTGCCTACAAAACTTCATGAGACATTAGACAAAATTAGCCATCATTTTAAGTTATTATTTTTGCTAACCAGTTTTACGGTAGAGATAACATCAGCTTGTTTGACCAATAAACCCATACATGTCTGCATCATATCAAAACACTGACAATGCTAAGGACATGCTTATTTCAATCAAACTGACAATCTTAAATAAGCTTTCAGTTACCAAAAATCAATTTTACATCTTGTAACTTAAAAGACATTTGGGTTAATTTCTTTTCCATTTAGAAATAATTTAGGTAAGCACTTCTTTTAAGCCAATTAAACAGAGCTCTTAATTTTTGGCCATACTATCTGGAGGTAAAAATATCACAGACATATAACATACATATGGATGCACATACACATAGACTGCACAGCTATTGTTTTAAAATTACTGCCATGAATCAGGTACAAGGTTCCCTAGTTATGAATCCAACTTTTTGTATTAAGCCTTTTTACTAATATTTGTGGAGAGGATACTCAAGATGCTACATTTTTGGCGAGGGCACTCTTCTGGCTATTTTTCTTGCTTCTGCCCCCTTTTTTTTTCTTCAGTCCTAGGAACTAGTGATGGGCTAGATATTCCCCAGAGGATTCGCAGGCTCTTTGAGATAAGGGAAGTGGGTGGAACCTGAACTGCCTCTAGAGCTGCCTTTCCAGTCTTGCAAGGATTTTTTTTTCAAGGATAGTTGTTCTTAATTTCTCAGAAATTGGGTTGTAACTTAAATGACATTACAGGTTGATCTACCCATCCAGCTACATCACAAAGGCACAGAGAAACCACTCAAATTTTCTCCAAGATAGAGTTTCTGGGGCACAGTTGCCTTATCAGTTTTTTAACATTCCAATATCTACAAGCATTTGTGGCTTAACTATGGATGCAAGAGGCGTCCCCACAAGAGAGTGCAAAAGAAGCAGCCGTCACAAGATCTAGAAACTTCACTCCCAAAAACAGTCCAAGAAAGCAAAGGCTTCTGCTGCATAGATGGTAGTGCACTGACAAGCAACAAAGGTTGAGACAACAGAGGCCTTTGATGGACTGGGACCCCTTGTGACCAGAGAGATCACAAAACCAAGCTCTCAACACACACCAGTAGACAAAAAAAAAAAAAAAAAACCTCATCTTATATGCACATTAACTGTTTTAGCTATGCTTTGGGTCTCTTAGAGCCAGAATAACACCTAGGAGGGAGGTGACACAGGGTTGGGGATTGTGTATTCTTTACAAAGTACCTACTCATTGCACAGACATTTTCTTGAAGTTGGCAGGGGGACCTGTGTCATCTACCCCATTCCGTGACCAACTCATCCTTTCATGGGAGACTTCTTGAGGTGGTGAGCGCCCTGATGGCACTTACCTGCTCTAACCATGCCCACCAATATTGCTTGCAGCCCTTTGGGCTCCCAAGATGCCCTTAGCAACAGTTTCTACCTTATGTGCATATTTCGTAGGCGGGCCCTGCAGCAAAGCCTACTGCGGCCACCCAGACAACAGGCTCATGGAGTGTCTGCATCTTGCTCTATGGTTTTTCCTTTTTATGACAGATGACACACAAACAGAAATAGCAGCTGTCTCTGAGAGGAGAAGGGTCAATACAATGAGGACTCAGTATTTTAGCTTGGAGCTCAAAGCCACCCAACTCAGGAGAATGCAGCCTAAGGGCCTACACGTGGGGATCGAATTAGTGTTTGCCGTTGTTTCAGAACTTAAGCATTGTTGGCAAAAAGTATATTTATGCTGCAGCTAGAATCAGATTGCAAAAATTTCAAACATCCCTAAAATCAAGACCCTAACAATGAAAGCCCAGCCAAGACTTTCTTCTAATGACCAGTGTAATTCCCCTGAGGCTGACAGTGGTTCGGTAGGACTCTTGGCCACAAACAGGAGTGCAAGCTGCATTTCTGTCTGATTACCTCTTATTGCAAAATGGGATGCAACCATATTTTCGTCCAACTGTATTTTGGAACATTCCCCTCCCCCACAACCTGACAGTTATCAAGCCGAGCCCTCAGGACACAAAACAAGCTTGGCAAGATTCTCCTGTTCTCTGTAAACATTTACAGCTTCCGGAAACTCTCTGTTGACAGGTGGAGCCCTTGACTCTTTAAAGATTAGAGATTTTTCCTTGTTCCTTGGTTTGGAGGCTCAAAAAGAGCCCAGAATGGCCAGTGTAATTTTAAATTTTCCCAGGTCATCTTGCCAGTTGTTTACAGTTATCACCATTTTAAAGGGCTTTTCCAAGTTGGCCGCAACAAACAAGATAATTTCTAAAGAGAGTTTGTTAAGATCACTGAGAAACTCATCCTCCAAACAGCCAATTTTAACAAATAGAACACTCAGACATAGACAATCTTTCTGGGACTCTAACCCAGAGCTCAGGACGCTAACCTGATCCTTTTGAGGGCCCCGGCGGCTGTAACCGCTTTATATTGTCTCCCACAATCCTGGTCTTGGGACTTTAACCCAGCAGCCAAATCTCACCACTGGGGCCTCTAACCCACAATCTGGATGAGATGTTAGACAATTTTAGGCAAGGTCATTCACTCAAAAGACATCTGATCCTGGAGCTCTTTACAGACACAGACACAAACACAAACACGGAAAAACCAGATACCAGTGAACCGGTTCCTAGATTTCAGGTGAAGTCCTATGCCTTTTCCCACTCCAGGAGGGAAACAAATGGTCCCCTTCTCCAAGAGGGGACCCCAAATGGGAGGGAAGGAAAGTTCTTGGTGATGCACCCCCAAGGTGACTTACCCTACTCCAGATGTGAGCCCGTCGACCCCCCAGAGGTAGCCATTTCTCTTTCCACCATAGGGAGCGTTAGGAGGCAGCTGGTAATGGCATGGGAGAGCAGGAAAAGCAGATCCCTGAGACAAAGGGCGTCTCAGCGGCCACAAGGGACTTACCCAACAGGCTGCCCATCCCAGGTTGACTGGCCATGAGCAGGACTTATTGCCCTTTGCGGTCGCCAGATTTTGTTACCGCACAAAGGGCACGGTCTGCTTATTGCGAGACAAAAGCCAGTCGTCAAGAGGCAAGATGGTGGCAGAGAAAGGGCATTTTATTACAGCTTGCTAGCAAGAGGGAAGATGGCCACCCAATGTCCAAAAGAACCATCTTAAGCAAGGCACAGAATCCTGAAGCAGTTATATAGGCCAGTAGGTTATAGGGGAGGGGTTAGGAATGTTGACCCTCTGGTGTTACAGACCGGGAGTGGCCACACCAGATCTTTAAGTTTTCACTGAGGACGGCTATCAGCGTAAACTCTCTGCTTGGGGGGGGTGGGTCATCACATTCTTAAGGAACTCAAAAGAACGAAGTTATCGTCTTATCGCAGCTGGGAGGTATATGTACCGGCAGGGGTCCTAAGATCTACAGAACAGGTGGGTCTCCTGGAGGGTGCAAATCCAGCTGGGTTAGTTAGTCAGGGGTCATTCAAAGTTACAACATGGTCTCTTTTCTACAATATGGCTTCCCTTATGTCAACCTTGTGTTGAGCCCATTTCACTAAGATGCCCACAACACAGTCCATCAGGCCACACAGCTGGGAAACAGCGAAGCTGGGAGGCAGGTCCCAGGTGTCTTAGTTTGGGTTCCTTCAGAAGCAGAGCCTGTGACAAGGATCAGGTGCAGGTAGATGTGAAAGACCATACACAGGAGGTGATCCCGGGGAAAAAGCGGTGAGGGAGGAAAGAGAAGGAGCCAGGTGCTATGGGTTGAATCATGTCCATGAAAGAAAGACATGTTGGAGTCCTAGCCCCCGGCAGCTAGAATGTGACCTTACTTGGCAACAGAGTTGTTGCAGATGTAATCAGTGAAGATGAGGTCATATTGGAGTAGGATGGGCCCCTAGTCCAATATGACTGGGACCCCTATAGGAAGACAGCATGGAAAGATGGAGACACACAGGGAGAAGGCCATGTGACGACAAAGGCAGAGAGGGGAGGGATGCAGCTGCAGGCTAAGGAACGTCGAAGATTGCCGGCAACCACCAGGAGTGACAAAGAGGAGAGGGAGGTTTCAGAGGGAACATGGCCCTGCCAACACCCTGATCTCGGACTTCTAGCCTCCAGAACTGTAAGACAATACACTTCCGGTGTTTTAACCCATCCAGTTTGTGGTACTTTGTTACAGCAGCCCGAGGACACTAATAGAGCAGGGAAGAAGGACATCAAGCTGGTCACCAGTGAAGGCCACTGGCGCTCCATCCACTGAGGACGCCTGAGCAGCCATGGAAATGGTGCCTCAGACTCGTTCCTCCAAGACCAGGGTCCAGGGCCTCTATGCACCAGTTCCAGTCTCCCTCTGGTGAAGGCTGTCCCTGGGGGTGGTGCCTCCACATGGCGTGGCTGCTCCTGCACTTAGGCTGAGCTCACGGGCCATCCATCAAGATGTGGGTGACATCAGAGGTGGACAAGGGGCCTCGGGGTGGGGTAGGCACCAAGAGCATCTGCTACAGCGGGATGCAGACGCTGACCCCATCATCTCTCCACAGCACTGCTTTACTGCGTGAGAGAGAGGCCAAGTTCAAGGTGAAAATTGGAAGTCACCCATGCAGAGTTACCAGGCACCCTATGCACTTTGGGACCTCTCATTTCACATTTGTGCATGGATTAACTTGTCAAAATTTTATCAAAGGGAAAAAGGAGAAGGAGGAGAAAGAAGAGGAAAGTTAGTATTATTATTGTCATTTTGCAAGCGAGGACCCTGGGACACAGGTTAAGTGACGTTTTCCTGGGTGGCACTGAGCCCACCTGGTTTCCAAAGCCCACAGTCTTCTTGAACACTGATGATCTCTTTCTTCCTTCAAAACCTGAGAAGCCACTGTCATAAGCACATCTGATCTTTTAAAGGGATAACTGGGAAGAAAACTGGCTGAAACCTTGCTCATACTTGTGATGCGTGATTAAAAGAAAAGATTTATTTGTTCATGAAAATCGCATAACCTTGGCCGTGGATTCACAGGATTTAGGGGTTTGAAGGTGTAAAATGAACGGGCTCAGATCTCTGATGCTGAAACTTTATATTCTCGCTTTGTAAACCAGGATGGAGATTCTTTATTTTTGCCTATAACCAATTTAAGTGTCATTCCAGCTGCTGTAACAAGAAATTGCATCAGAGCTCAAAAAAAGCTACTCACCTTAGCAGTTTAGTTCTTGTTCACTGTGAGTTCTGATTCAGGGTCTGGAGCCACGGGCAATGCTCCTCTGAGTGGTGGTTCAGACCCAGGTACCTTCCATCTTGTGGCTCCTCCAAGGTCACCATGCTTGTCTACATCAACCCAAGGAAAGGAGAGAGAGCTGAGAAGACCCACCTGGTCTTACGAGGGTTACCATATAACATAACTCCCAAACCAGGACTTTTGAGAGTGAAAGGGGTGTTATTAAGAATTATGTGTAGACAACAGGTGTTACTGAATGTGGACAAACTGGAACATACGATGGCTCTACTTCTCAACCACCTTGACCTGGAAACGACCCCCCTCGCTTCCCTTCACATGCTATTGGTGAGAACTGGCCACATGGTATGACGATTGCCTATTTTTCTGTAACAAACCCTGCCAAAGCAATGGCTTAACACAATAACTGATCATTGTTTTGCTCACAGATGCAGGGTTGTCTGGGCTCAGCTGGGCGGTTCTTGCTCAGGGCCTCTCATGTGGTTGCAGTGCCTGGGGCTGGGGTCATCATGAAGGCTTCCTCACTCACCTGTCTGGTGTAGAGCTGGAAAGACTCAATGGATGGGGCCTCATGCACCTTTATCCCCATGTGGTCTCTCCAGCGTGGCAGGTCCAGGGCAGCCAAACTCATACAAGGGGGCTCAGGGCTGCAAACATCACATGTCGCAAGAAAGAGCCAGGCGAAAGCTGTGTCACGTTCTGTGTCCTAGCCTGGGAAGTCATGTAGTGTCACTGCTTACTCTGCTGGTGGAGGCTGTCACAAAGACCCACTCCAGGTTCAAGGGGAAGAAGTAGATTCCACCCCTTGATGGAAGAGTGGCAAGAACAGATGAGACTAGAAATAGCGTGCACATCATTTTTTGGAAAATACAACCTGCCACGCCTGGACCCACCAAAATATAAGGGGTGGGGGCTGCTGGGAAATGGAGACAAGCTGGGCAGCCCCTTCCCACCTGCCTCAGTCTGTTCAGGCTGCTGTAACAGAAATACCATAGACTCAGTGGCCTATACACAAGAACTGATTTCTCACAGTTCTGTGGCTGGGAAGTCCAAGATCAAGGTGCCAGCAGATTTGGTATGTGGTGAAGGCCAGCTTTCTGGATCATGCATGTCACCTTCTCGCTGTGTCCTCACATGGCAGAAAGGGCAAGGGAGCTCTCTGGGGTCTGTCCTATAAGGACACTAACCCCATTCATGAGGACTCCACTCTGGTGACCTAATCACCTCTCAAAGGCCCCCACCCCCTCCTAACACCATCACTTTGGCCGTTAGGATTTCAACATGTGAATTTCGGGGACACTCAGTCCTTAGCACCAGCCCAACTCTAAACTCCAGAAGGGACAGCAGCATTGGGGTGAACACTTGGCCATCTCTGGCACACCAACTCTCCCTGCAGAGCAGCCCACCACTCGGGTTGTTAGGCCCAGAGAGGATGACCAGGTCCTCCGTGGCACCTGTGAGAAGTGGGCCCATGGGAGGGACGAAGAGGAGAGAGGGAGCTTTGCTCAGGCCTCAGAAGCAAATTCTTCCATGGCATCCTTCTAGGCAGCCCCGGGCCTCCTTTGGGACAAAGGACCCAAAAGTATGGGTGACGCACAGCTTGGCCTGGGTTAAGTATACCACCACCAGCCAACACAAGGCTGGCACTTTTCATGGTCAGCCCATTAGGAAGGTTTTTTTGGAGAAACAATAATATCGTGGGTGGCTAAAAGTCATTATTATGAAATGAACTGCTTTGTAAGTGAAACATGGGAAACATTTTAAAATGGAGTTTAAAGAAAACCAGCCATTCCTGCTTTCCAATTCTTTGGGGATCCCAGGGAATCCCAGAAAAGCATGAAGTGTGTTTTCCAATGCAAAGGCGTGCTAGATAATGGAAAGGAACAGCTCCTAGAAGGTTCTAGAAGGACCCACTTGGTCCACACCCAGCAGTCCTCCTATGGGCCACTCAAGGCTCCTTACGCAGCCTCAGCACACGGTAGTCACTCGTCATCTGTGTCTGCTCCTTTTTAAGACGCTTATTGTCCCTCACTTAACAGGCATGGTTTCCGTGATGGTTAATTTTATGTATCAACTTGATGGATCAGCGAGTGACGTGTATATATTGCATTCATATAGATAGATAGAGATATAATCTCCTATTGGTTCTATTTCTCTGGAGAATCCTGACTAATAAAGTTTCCTTTTTCTGCCTAAAAATTCCTCCTTTTTAAGAGATTTTTTTTCTCCTCGCCCTCAGCTAGTCATCAGTATTCTGTAAATCTTACAAGGTGGGAAGCAATTAATTCACCTGCAAGAAACAGAGAATTCCTCCTTGGAGATCAGACTTTTGCTCTCTTTTTTAACTAGAAGTTTCTACAGAGGGACCCATTTGAGCTTCATTTGTACAAAAATAACAGCGGATTTCCAAAGTCCTGTTTCGCTCCATGAAAAGGTCGGACACGTCCCATGGCTGCAGAAACAAAAGTTCTCACCTGCAAACTGAAATCTGTCCTGTTTAAAGTACATTCTAATGAGAATGTCCAGTCCTGGTGGATTTCTACATAAAAGTAGGGAAAACTTCAACTTTCCTTGTAAGGGCCTGAGAAGACAGCCTTTTCGTTAAGCATTTTCCTCAGGTCTAGCTTAAATGAGTCACTCTACCCCGAAATGGCACTAGCTCCTGAGCTTCTGAAGGGCAGAGGCTTCCCCTCCCTCCTCCTCAGGGGCCCTGGCCCCTCCTGCCACCTTCTCAGGTCGTGGGCAGTGGGCGGCCCCACCTGATTCCCAGAAGCCGACCACGTGCATCTCTTCCCAACTCCTCGCTCAGTGACACCATGTTAGTAGCTTGGATTCAGCCACACTGCTCCCGGG